CAGGCAGGCACTTTGCCGCTGAGCTAAATCCCCAGCCCCTCTCCTTATTTTAAAAACCAGGACATCACTACCTCTTAGACTTATGCAAAGGATTAAATGAGACAATACATCAGCCCTCTAATAATTTGTAGTATGTTTTCTTCTCCCTAACATCTCTTAGGCCTAAAATTCTGTATGATAGCATCGTGTCTGTGATATTCAATGGTGAATAAAGCTTCCTTTGAAGTCAGAATATGAGTCCTTTGAAAACAAGAGGAGCATATGATGTGAATATCATCATATTCCAGTGGAAAAGAAGTTTCTTGGGATAATAGCTACAATATAAAAAGTAAATTCATCATTTGCATGCCTTTTATAAACATAGGTAAGATAAATTAATATTTAATGAACTGCAATTACATAGTAAGTCTTAGGCTAGGTAATTTTGTAAAATTGCTGAGTGCTTTGCAGATATTATTTCAATGAATCTTCACAATTACACTTCGAGGTAGGTACAGTCTCCTAAGGAGGTTAAGGAACTTACCCTAGTCATTTGTGGAGGTGGAGCTAATTTTAAAAATTCATGCCTGGCTAACATTAAGGTTTGTGGTTTTTACCCAAATAATATATACTTCTGATTAAAGAGAAACGAAGTCACCAGATGAACATAAGAAGAGCTAGCGCAGCTCCTCATGCTAGGAGACTGATGAGTTTGAGGTGGGAACAGCATGGATGGATAAAGGTTCATATACTTCAAGGTATTTGGACCTTAATAAAGATTTATTCCCTTAGGGTTCAATAAAATCAAAAGGTACATTGCAAGATTCAGTAACTGGAGCAGATTATGATATTAGTTCTAATGTTAAGATAAAAGTTTAAATTCCTATTTGTAAAAGAGAAAAAAATTTTCCATAGGTCCACAGTTCTGCTTGAAGCTCTGTGGAGCTGTGTGAGGTGTTTTTTTGTTTTGTTTTGTTTTTCAGAATTAGAGAAAAATGGTCTATATTCGCTATAGAACATCCCTACTAGAGTCCAGAGAAGCCCCCTGAAATCAAGCATATTATGTGAACATTTCATATGAAGCAGAATAAATGAAGACAATAAATAGGCTCACATCAGTTTAAGTAAAGTTTTGCTACCAAATGTGTAAAGAAAAAAATGTCAATTTTTAGGTCTTATTGTATGATGAGTTGTGAAGAAGAGATTATAGACTTGCAGAGTATACAGTACTGTCTCAAGGGAAATAAAGAAATGAAGATTACCTTACCAATTGATAGTCAAGAGAGTTCTCTTCAAAAGAGACTCTAAAGTCCTCAGTTAAAACAATAAATTTTATTGACCCCTATTCTCAAATACTAGTATATCCAAAGAGAGAAAACACACATCTTTTCTCTCAAATAGATACACTTCATTTTAAATAAAAGCAGGGACTGAAATTAAATACCACGTTTCTTCTAGAGGATCTGCCTTTGTCATGGAAACCACAAGAAGTCATACCCGTTTGAATTGTCAGTCTCCTTTCAGGTTTGCTTTTATAACAGGGTCACCTCCCCTTTAGGGAGAGTAGAAAAATGCTATTTTGTGTCAGTCTTTTTTTTTTTTCTCTTTTTGAGGCAGGGTCTCACTATGCAGTTCAGGCTGGTCTTGAACTCACTTTGTAGCCCAGGCTGGCCTCGAACTCGCAACGATCCTCCTGCCTCAGCCCCCTGAGTGCTGAGATTACAGGCATGCACAACCCTGCCCAGCTTTTGTCAGTCTTTTAAGTACTCAAAGATCTACAAATACTAAGCTCTTGTCAATTAGTGAAGAAGACTAGAGTATAGACGGTGTTTGGCCTTGAACAAAAATAATGAAGAATAAATGAAATAATAAACACTCTTGAACAAAATAACCAAGAAAAAAATGATAATCATGCGATGTGATGCCAGGTTTGTTTACTTATTTTACAGTGTGTACATATATCAAAACATGTTGTACATCATAAACGTATAAAAATTTTGTCAGTTAAACTTTAATGAAGTTGGGGGAGGACATTACCTTCTATAAAGGAAAAGCATTTTTTTTTATTTTATGGGAAATAAAACAACATTTCAAAACAAAATAATAAGAGAATAACAGTAGTTAATACATTGCATATTGTTATCTTCAAAGTAGTTACTCAGAGTATGAGATATGGGCGTAAAAGGAATTGAGTAATTTTAAAGGAAGGGAATTTTGCATGTTAGGAAGATAAACAATTGTAGTTAATGGCAGTGCCCATTAGAGCTAACACTAGAGTAATGAAAAAGCCCCTTCTTTATCCCTGTCCTCCTCATGCCCTCCATTCCTTCCCTACTGTGCATAGTTATACATCCTCTGCTTCTTTGTTTTTTCCCTCTGTTGACTTTGACGCCATCCTTGGTCAAATCCACCTATTTATTTTCCCTGCATTTGCCCTGGAGTAGATGAACATGACTGGACTAAGTGGATGTCCATGTTAGTTTCATTCTTAAGTAAATAATCACTAATCTCAAGTGATGATCTTCCTTTTCTCATTGAGAGAATAAATACAACTATGAAAAGAACTTCCCCATAATCCTACCACCAAATCTGCTAACCCTGTGCATTTGTATGTTTGTATGTTCTCTGCCTTCCCTTCTGTCACAGTGGATGAAATCAGTGATCTCTGTAAAGTCAGCCTCTCCTTCTACTCTGCTGTCACCTTGCTTGCCTTCTCCCCAATTAAATCAGGATCTCTTGTGTTTTTCGTAATATACAGTTGGCATTGAAGACCACTCTGTTAGAACGTAAGCTTCATTTGTTTTGTTCATACTGTATTCTCAGTGCCTGTAACAGTACTGAACACGAAGTAGGCACCCTCTGAAGAGCACAACACTTACCTAATAAACTATCTGTCCTTGTGTGTTATGATCAAATTGGAAAGAGTTCTGTGCCTAGTTACTACAACTGTCATCTTTGGAATTTTTTTCCTAGAATTTTTATGCAGGTAATCCTGGTTATCTGGACCATCTTACATTGCTGGGAACTGAGATTTTTTTCAATTTCTAAATGGTTATGTTCTTCTTTTCAAATGGATTTCATCAATGGAGTGGATCTGTACAAACTGCTTCTTAAAGAAATGGGTTCACCTGTCTGCTCGCTTACTTTTTCCCATCTGTAAAATAAGCCAGGGCACGATGATTCTTGTATTGAGAAATGCCTGTTATGGTCTCACCTATAGTTGATTGTATGTGTTTAATTCAGATCAAGGGATGAATGTTTATTTTCTTAACATTTCTGTACCATGAAAAATCATAGAAAAACAGCCACATGTATTTTAACTTGGTCTTGTATTTCTTTTCTCCAAATTGTAATCTGTAGAAATGAGGCTATTTAAATGGAGTTGAGATGCACACCTACATTATATTGAAAATGCACACCTACATTATATAAATAGTGCAGCTTTAGTGTGGGAGTAAGTATTACAGATTTTTGTGGGCTCTAACTCAGTACCATGGTAGTATGTTATAGAATCTGTGAATTCCACTTTTCTTACTAGTGTGAGTCAAGTAATGTCATGATAAAGATATCAGACTTCTTTTTTGGTGGTTGGGTTTTTGTTTGTAAATCTGTTCTAGAGTGGAACTCAGCTAGATCATTTGTATACAGAAAGCTCTACAAGGTACCCGGCCTAGATTAAACACTGTTACTGTGGTTAGTCATTTAGGAAGCTATTATGAGGGCAGACTCAGACAGAAAGCACACGTGTAAACCTGATTGTAAAACAGAGATACAGGTTGATTTAGCAAGGTAAAAATGTATATCAAGGAGTAAATTACTCTATTTGTAGAAATTTGGCACAGATGTACCAGGGAAGTATCTAATTTATAAGTCAAGAAATAGCTAGGCATGGTGGCACACACCTGTAATCCCAGCACTCAGGAGACTGAGGCAGGAGGATTGCTGTGCTTTCAAGGCCAGCCTAAACTGCATAGTAAAAAAGGAAAGAAAGGAATTACCTCCATTGATATTTGGTTCAGAATTTTTCTTGCTTCATTTCCTGCCATTTTGGAAGATATGATACAATAAATACACACTTCATAAAACATTTCTAAGTAACAAGTATATTGAGTTCCATGTATATGTGGACTGATGCTCTGCTATTTAATTATTTGTTGTTTTACTTTCAATTTATATGTTCTTCCCCTTTGTGTTCCACATACCCACATACTTTTTTTTTTTGCTGAACTACTCACCTTTATAGGGACATTCTCTTACATAACTCCGCAAGACTACTATCACACCCAAGAAATTTAACATTGACTCAGTGTCATCTAGTATATAACCCCTATTCAGATTTTCTCTGGTTTACTCCAAGTAACTAGACTTTTAAAATTTTCTTTGGTCCAGTACCTAATGTTCATGCATTATATTTGGTTATCATGTTTCTTTACCCATCTTTAATCTAGAGCAGTTCTCCTATCCTCCCTTTAAAGTGTTTCAAGATACTGACTTTTTTTTTAGTCTAGACCAGTTGTTTTTGTAGAATGTTCCTCATTCTGAATTTATCTGGTTGTTTCAGGTTAAATCTCCTTGGTAACTGTAGAGGCTGACTTAAAAAGAAATTGAAATTCATTTGTAGAAGATCTTGACATATTCTGCCTATTCTCAGATGCTTTTCCTAGAGTCTCAACCAAGCTGAAGATACAAGGAAGCTGAAGTTGAATTTACTCTTTGCAGATACTGGAAACCTAGGTTACTGTAATGAAGAAAATTTGGTCCTAGTTTTAGTAAAAATCAGGTGTCCAGTTTGTGCTCTAATCAGCCTTTCTGAAACCTGATGGATGTGTGTTTTTCTGTGACCTCATAGGAATCTTAAAATGGTGGCATTAAATGATCTCTTCCAAAATGTCAGGCTTTCAGAGTTACATCCCATCAGAAATGGCCCATTGTGTAAAACAGAACCAGTCTGACCTGCAAGACAATGTACTCCAATTGCATATTTCAACCAGTGCTGTCTTATGCCTAAGCTCATGGAACAAAATAAGAAATTCCAAAATTAAAGCTTTCTGATCTAATTTGATTATTTTAGAAACATATATATAAGAAGAGTTAAAGTGAACTTCATAACCAAAATGATATTTTAATGTAATACTAATTTATGGTGATAATAAATACTATCAATAACGTTGAACTTATAAAATCATGTTTCTTCAAAAAAGTTTCTTAGTTGTTACAAGTGTGGTTGTTCAACTGATATCTTCAGCTCTTTTCAGAACCCTGTTAACTCTTATTTAGCAAATTAGCATACTGAACTCTAAAATACTGTTTTTACTTAATGATTTGGTTTGTATGTTTCCATACACACATAGTAGATAGTAATAGCAGTATTCTATTGTGAGAGGTAAGGATTTTTTTTTTGAGGTCAACTGTGTTTAGATTAATCAGGTTGACATTTCTTGCTGGTGGGTCATGAACTGTTGATAATAGCATTAAATGGTGATTCAGTTGTTACAGAAGGTACAACTCATTATCCAGCTACTATATTAAATCATCACAGAAAACAACTGGCCCTCTCTGTGTGTCCACATTAGTGATATTGGAGAAGTATATATGTTTCTTTTCTTTCCATCTTAAATTTATTGGAGACTTAGTCACATTCTCAAAGGATGCTGCAGCACTGCCAGTACTTTATAGAACTAGGATCAATAATAGCTTGACTGATTTGAGAGGATAAAGGAATGTATAATCCTTTTCCTAACATACTCAAAGTCTTCATATTGTTGCCTTCCTGGAACCTTATTTTAATAAGGAATTTACCTGGGTTGTAAGTAATAAAGCAAATACATTTACAACTTTATAAATTGGGTGTAACTTTAACTTAAACTATTCCTGTGGGTGTATGGATCCTTGTAAGATAAATACTCATTTTAAGGGAGAGATGATGCTTAGAAAGTTCATGTATGTAATATTTTACAAGAGAAGTCATTTTTATAAAAACTTAGTTTTAGGGAAAAATTTAACACATAAGCTGGTTAGGGCTTTGTTGTTTTTGTTTTGTTTTTCTTTGTTTATGATGCTAGAGATCAAACCCAGGGCCTCAAGCAAACACTGTACCACTGAGCTACATCCCCACTTGCTAGGTTTTTTTTAAGTTACTAATCAGTTTCCTTTAAAGATAAATTTAAGTAGTCCAATGTTCAGTGAATCAGAAATTACTAATCTCTTTGAATTTTAAAGTGTTTTTTCAGCATATGTTGTATGCATAACCAATGAGTAGATAGTAGCATAGCAGTTGTGTTAATGTTGGTTTGGGTTTTGATTGGGTAGTCAAGAATTAGTGAAATCAGTTGCTAAGTAGCAGTATAATACTTTGAATGCCCTGACTGGGATCTTATATAGATGGTGCCCATTCATGTTTTGTTAATGAACATGTGACACTTGAGTGAAGCAGGAAAGTTTTTTAGCACTTTATGTTGTCACATGGAATGTATTTTAAGGAGGGGAAAATAAGTAAAAATAATACTTCCTTTTGTAGGGAAAAGTAACTGCTTATCTTGGATAAATAGGTTCTTCAAGTCTGTGCTCTTTGAGTGATAATAGAAGATTAGAAAATTATGGGCCACTAGAGGTCACTGTTTAGTAATCAACTTTTAATGAACCAGAACAGCCAGGAAAGCGAATAAATTACAGTGTGGATTTTTCTAATTATGAATTCATATTTAATCATTCAATGACAAGTTAACTGTGGAAATGGTTCTATGTACTTTGCATATGTGGTTATGCTAACACACTGTTATATTTTTCAGATGTTGGTCCTCCATCATTAGAGTGTAGTACATTGCCAAAGGCTTTGTTATCTAATCTTAATTACTAATTATGAGATGTAATTAGCTTTGTTACCATTACCACCCCGTTCATGGGCCAAGTCCTTTTAAAAATAAAGTTTCACTGTGAATTCCAAGTTACATTTAAGTGAACACAGGTGTAGTGGTTAATCAGTTCCTTCCTCTTCCTGGTAAGCCTTCTTGCATCCTCCTTGGTTTCTCTTGCTCCTGTTTCTGTTCTTTGCTCTTTTTCACCTGGTTTCTTTCCTTCTTCCTTTGGATTCCTTATCAGCTGCATTATTTAATCAGCGACTGAATGTTTCTTCTCAAGTTTTCCAACCTTCATTTAGTTAGTAGTAGAATGTGACTTTTACTGCATATGTTAAAGGAATTCCAGGGTGGGCAGCTTAAGCTGAGCCAATCAGCAAAGAGAAGACGGTATGCATGTAAGCAAGTGTGCCACTGCTGCTGTTGCTGAGCGCAGATGGCTCCCCACAGCCTGTTCAGTGAGAACCCATTCAGGAAAAGGCAGATTTCCCTACTCGTGTGATAAAAAATGTTCTCCTCTTTAAAGATTAGGCTGTTGCCCAAGAGGAGGCCCCCTAGTCATAGGGAAAGCTGAACATATGCACATGTGTTTCCCTTTCTTGAACACAGTGCTGTGCATTCTTGCTTAGAAAGTAGGTACATCAGCACATTGCTGCTCAGACTTCATGCCCTTCCTGCTGCCTTTACCACCCCTGCTTCTGTGCTGCTGCTGTGCTGTTACAGGGCTGATGAAGAATGTGGTCTGTGTTTAAATAAAGGTTTATTATAATAAAATTAATCCCCCTCAAAACATTCTCCCTTGCTTCAAACACATTTAATCTGTCATTCTTGTCACTTTCTGAAGCAGTTCTGGAAGTTCCTTTTCATGAGTGTCTTTGTAAGCCACGATCAGTGCCATCCAGTGGAAAGGCAGGCTCATTAAAAACATTGTGTTGTAACCTTACCCACCGTATTTACTGGGTCTGGCACCATGAGACTTCTGCCTCTTCCACAAAGTCAAATGACTGTGAAAGGCAAATTCTTTTTTTAAAATTAGAACGAAGTTAGTCGTCCTAATAAATTATTATATTTGCCTTCAAAAAGGAAGGGGGCATTTTTGATGTTTCTGGATCCATTTAGGACATCTAGACAGCCTCAAAGGTGCAACTAAAGACACTCATGGAAGAGGATATCTAGGAGTGGCAAGAGGGTAGGATGTTTTCAGAGTGAGGGAGAATATTTTGAGGGTGACTAATGGCAGTGTGTCTTTTATTGTAATAAAAATTTAAACATTCACTATTTTTTAATTGCACCTTATGTATCTGATACTTCATGGTTATGAGAGTAGCTTCAGTCTGCATGAAGAACATATCTGATACATTGTTCAGAAACTTTTGGTTCCTCATGCACACTCAATCCAGTCTGGTGTTCTTTGCCTGCCACTCAGAGCTCTCCAGTCTAGATCCAGCTTATTTTCCCCTTACATTTTGCACTACTTAACTCCGTATGCTTCAAGTTCTAGCCAAACTAGACCATTCACTATCTCTTAAATGTGTATGTCTTTTACTGAAGTTCCTGGTTCTTCTTGATAATTTCTTTTACTGGAATTTTAATTTCTTCCTCATTTTATCCCACAAACTTCCTAAGCCCATCATAGATGTCCCTCTGGTGATGTCCTCTTTAAGAAGAGGTGACCCTCTCTGTGAACCACCATGACTTGTAGGGCACTTAGCATCCTACCTTACACTGTAACTACTTCATACCTTTCTCCTCAACTATAGTGTGTTATAAGTTGTTTGAGTCCAACCATTCTTGGAATATAAATTAAATGTGCTAAAGTTTTCAATAAAAATGACTTGGCAAGGTGTTTGGTTTTATAATTTTATTTTGGGAAATTTTAAATTATCTTGTAATCTTGCAGCTAAAGTTTGTGATATAAGGGAAGATTGTGGAATATCTTTTTTGAAACTCTTTCCCGTGAAAGATGGGCCTTTGTCTAGTAGGTTGCATTCTGTCTGATCACATGAGAACATTGAACTTATCCTTCTTGATTACCTGCTTTATAATAGAGAACATATAGTTCTCTCTTAAATCTGCTGAAAGGAAAATGTATTTTATACTTGGAAATGATGCTCCTAATATTTGCAGTAGCGTTAAGGAAATTAAAAGTTTAGTTCAAATAACCTTTTGCTCTTAACATTCCAAATTTCTTATATTTTGGTGAAAATAAAAAGAAACCTGGAGTGATATGTAAATTCAAACTTTATTTTCACCTCTTTTAAAATATTATTTAAATATTACTGCCAGTGGCTAAGGACTGTCTATAAATTCCATATTACTAGAGAAGAAGGCATGTATAACCAAGTGATTTCCTCTCCTAGAAGAACAGTAACTGAAGGTTTCCATGCTCAACCTAGATGTGCACATTGTTATGATCGAAACTAACTTGCAGAATTTTTTGTTTATAAATTGAACAGGTAGAGAGTTACTTCAGAGTTTGAAAACAAGGAAAAATATACCCCATACTTTTCATTTTTCCTTTCCTCTCCCCTCCCCTGTACTCCACTTCTCCCATCTCTGGAATTAGGGATCGAACCCAGGACCTTACACATGGTAGGCAAGTACTAAACCACTGAGTTACGTCTCTGGATTTTTTTTTTTTTTTAAAGGGTGTCTCTGTTTCGCCCAGGCTAGGCTTCACCATGTGGTCCTCTTGCTTCAGCCTCCTGAATATCTAGGATTACAGGCATGTGCCACTGCACCTAATAAAAACAATATTTTCTAATATATTTAAGTCCCTAATTTTACCTTAAGTATACTCATCTTAGAAATACAATGCTATTAGTATCATGTCTTTGTATAAAATAACTTCTGAGTGTAGGATGCTACCCAGGAAGCAAGTCCTTTCTATCCTTTCAGAAAAATCTACCTACTGCCTCTCTCTCCCCTTTTCTAAGATTTGGAATCTAAATTTACCATGGGGATTTACCTATGCTGCCAGTGTTTCAACCACCTTGTCTCTGTAGAGTTTTCTTAATATTCTTACAATCTTCTTAATAATCTTTTCTGATTTCTAGACTTGCATTTTTATCTGTTGGCCCCTTAAGTCAAATTCATTTTTAAAGTCAGTTTCATTTTGTTTTCTGTAAAACCAGTTATTTCTTTTGATTTCCTTTTTATAGTGTATTACAGTTTCACTTTTTCTAATATTTTAGGTTTAAACTCTTAGACAAGCACTGTCTAATATAACATAAACCATATATGTAACTTTAAATTTTGTAAGTAGTCATAAATAGAATAATAAGAAACACAGGTGAGCTTTAATAATACATTAACGATGAACTTTAGTAAG